CAGTGCCAGCACAGTGTGGTGTCACACGGTGCCAGCGTGGGTCACACAGTGCCAGCGCAGTGTGGGGTCACACGGTGCCAGCGTGGGGTCACACGGTGCCAGCGTGGGTCACACAGTGCCAGTGTGGGGTCACACAGTGCCAGCACAGTGTGGTGTCACACGGTGCCAGCGTGGGTCACACAGTGCCAGCGCAGTGTGGGGTCACACGGTGCCAGCGTGGGGTCACATGGTGCCAATGCAATGTGGGGTCACACAGTGCCGGTGTGGGGTCACACGGTGCCAGCACAGGTCACACAGTGCCAGCGCAGTGTGGGGTCACATGGTGCCAGTGTGGGGTCACACAGTGCCAGCGCAGTGTGGGGTCACACGGTGCCAGCACAGGTCACACAGTGCCAGCGCGGCTTGGGTCACACAGTGCCAATGCAATGTGGGGTCACACAGTGCCAGCGAGGGTCACACGGTGCCAGCATGGTGTGGGGTCATACAGTGCCAGCATGGGCATGGCCTCACATGGGCACAGCCTCGTGTTCAGGCTCCTGTGGGTGCCACATGGTGCCATTGTGGGCACAGCCTCGTGCTCAGGCTCCTGTGGGTGCCACCTGGGCACTGGAGCAGCCCAGCCCTGCTGGAAGGAGGGTGGGAGCACAAGGCGGTACTGGGAGCAGGGCACGGCCTTGGGGGCTTCAGTGCTGGGGGCATCCCTGGCAGCTGGGCTGTGCCAGGGGAGGTGCTCCTGTCCCCCAGGAGAGCGGGGCTGGGAGCAGCTGGTGCCACACTGGGGTGCTGCAGGGAGATGCAATGGTTCTGTTGCCAGGCCTGCTGGCTGTTCTGAGTGTTGGTGTGTTTGGGAATTGTTAGTTCCTGTCTCCGTGGGCATTTTATGGGTACTGCTCAAATCAATGCTTCAGTTTCCCCTTGTGGACTTAAACCTGATACCTCAGGAGCCCCCTTCCCCTTCCCTTCCCTTCCCTTCCCTTCCCTTCCCCCCCCTTCCCCTTCCCTTCCCTTCCCTTCCCTTCCCTTCCCTTCCCTTCCCTTCCCTTCCCTTCCGGGATTTTCTTCCTCCACAACCCTACAAAAAAGGTCTTCCTGAAGAGTTTTGCTTATGGAATAAATACTTTGTCATTAAGTATGACTTGATGAGTGTTTCGTTCCTTGAGGGAGGGATATTTTTAATGAAAGAATAATCCAGTTGATACCATCAGGCGTCATTAATGATCAGCTGCTCTGTTTGTGCCTTTCTGCCTTGAGCAAAAACATTCTGAACCCCGCATGTTTGTACCTGGTGCCTTCTGTGAGCACGTTGTTCATTGCTTAAATCAAACCAGACATCTCAACTCCCTCCAAAAGGCAGTTATTGAACAGCTCTCGGCAAGGCAAACTTGTCTGGAACTGGCTTGCTATTCCAAAGGGGTTTTTGGGAATCTGCTGCCCTTCCCTGTGTGTGTTCCTGAACTGGACATGGTGCTGGCACGGGAGAAGGGAAGAGGATCCTGTTCCTTGAGAGGGCTTTTGAGGCAGTGTTAAGCCATGCTGATCCTGACTGCTCCGGGGGTTTGTTTGCCCAGTGTCCTTCCCAGAGAGCCGGGCTTCCTTTGTTCTCCTCTCAGACGTGAGGCAGGGCTGAGCCGGCCGAGGAGTGACGGAATGGCCCTGGAATGTGAGAATGTGATGTGTCACATCTGGGAAAAAAGGGCTTCAGAAAAGTCAGGCTTGCCCTTTATTTGCGGGTGGATGGGACTGACACGTCCTTGGAAGGTGGGAAAGAAGGGAAAAAAAAAAAAGCCTGGCTTAGGCATGAACAAATTCATGTCGCTGATCTTTTTTTAGAAGAAACAACTCAAAATGTAATGAAAAGCCCCAGAGTCTGGGAGCTTTGGATGGCAATGTTTCTGAGTCAGAAAAAGGATTTTTGGATGCAGCTGGAAACCATTGCAATTGCTGCATGTGAGCCAAGGAAATAAAACGTGTTTGGGGAGCAGCAGCAGTTCGTATCCTGCTGCAATGGGAAGGCTGCTGGTTTTCCAGCAGTTTGGTTATTGCAGAATTGTAGAATTGTGGAGTCTCCTGGGCTGGAAGGGACGCAGAGGGATCAGGGAGCTCCTGCTCCCGTCCTGCTGTGCTTCCCTCTCCCTTGGGATGGAGGCAGCTCCTGGAGAAGGGCATTTTGGGCTGCATCCCCTGGTTCTGTGTGCCAGGGAGCAGAGGGGCATCCACGGCCTGCTGGGGTTACAGTTTGACCTCAGATGGTAACTGAGGAGAGAAATACTGATTAATACAAATGACCAGGAGAATAATGGAGTGTGGTGAATAATAAAGGCAGCAGAGCCATAATTGGCATCCTCTCAGTGCCCTGACTCCTGGATTTTGGGAATGTGCAGCAGCACGGCTGCCAAGGTCCCTTTAAAGTCGGGTGTGCTGCAGCAAACACAGGATGATCACAGAATGAGCAATCTTCTTATTGTCTCACCTCCCTGGAAGTTGAGATACACAATTAATCCTCCTCTCCATTGTCATCCCCTGCCTTCCTGCCTGGCTCTGTCCTCTCTTCACTGTGAATATTCTCCCGAGGTTTAAGTGTGAGGGGAAAGTAAGATTGGCATTTTGAGCTGGTAAATGAGGTTAATCAGCTTGGTGGTGGGTGGGAGGAACGTGCTCTGGGGTTAAGAATTTGATATTAATGGTTAGTAGGACCCTCCTTGCCAGACCTGTGAAAATTCTCTTCAGTCAGGCAGGAACTTTAAAAAAATCTGGTGAATAACTGGTTAGAACAGATTAAAAATCACCTCATGGTTTTACTGTTGCTGTAATTAAGAGAAACAGGGACTGTGGGTGGGAGGGTGTCTGGAAGGTGGCACCTTTCCCCCTCTCCTGAAAGAGACACTGGTTTGGGTTTGCTGGGCAGGAATTAGGGCTGTACATCTCTGCAAAAGGCACCAAGCAAAGAAATGGAGCTGCTGGGATGCCTGCAGGACGAGGGAGGCTGGTCTGAGCAGGGAAGTGTAATTCTGGCAGCTGCCGTGGCTGACCTGCTGGGAGGAGCTCGAATCCTTTCTCCTGCCTTTTGGCAGAGTCAGGGAAAACACACAGATGACGTTCTCCCAAAATCCCTCCCTGCCTCTGCAGAAGGCAGGGTGAGGAGGCAATAATTCAGCAGGAGGGCTGGATGCAGCCAGGATCTCTCCTCCCAGGAGTTCAAACCTTGAGAAGCAGCGGATCAATTTTTGCAGTGTCTGCTCGACTGCCATCCACCAGTGGCAGCAGAGACAGGAGGGATGATTGCCCGGTAACAGGAGAGGCAGCTCACAGATTGCCAATGTAATTGCCTGCTTTAATTAATTTCACCTTCTTGCCTCTGATGTTAGAACGTGAAAGGCAAAGTTGCTATTTTTATAGCAATGCACATGTAATTAGTACAAAACCCACCCAGGGCATGGCAATCCGAGCTGCAACGTTTGGTGACAAATGCAAATTCCAGCCTAAATATTTTCCCCGGCTTGGCAGTGAATCGATGCTGGTAAAAAGATGCACAACAAGTCCTCCTGCACAAATGCAGCTCTCACAGGCTGCTGTGCTGGATGTTCCTGCCCCCCAGCAGCAGGAAGAGTGGCTGGGGTGGGAATGTCCTCGGAGCTGCACCGTGTCCTTCCTTCCCTGCCCAAACATCCCCTCCATCCTTCCAGGTGGGATGAACTCTGCCCTCTGAGGGCAGGGCTGTGCCCAGGGGCACAGTGCTGCTGTGGGCATAAGATCAGCCTCCATGGGGTCATCCTGCATGCAGCCAGCCATCCCCATGTGCTCTGGGCCTTGGAAAATGGGCTGAATCCGTGTATTTTGGTGGATTTAACCCTGTGATTTCTTTGATTCCGTGGATTTCTGGCCTCACAGTTCCAGCTGAACTCTGAGAAGTGTTGAGGTAGCAACAGAAATGGTTGTGATGGCACGTGGAGAGTCTGTTCACAGGATTCTTTTTGATTTGTGGTATCCAAAGTTTCTTTTCCAGGAGGGTAATTCCTGTTGTCCCAGCAGACAGGCAGGTATGGGGTGGCACTGGTGCCTGTTCCAAGAGGGGCACCCACTTGGCTTTCCCTCTCCTGCCAAACTCAAACCTTCCCCTGTCTATGGATGTGTATCATCATCTTTCCAGTTAATATTGGCAGATGATGGGTTTGCTGTAAAGGGTTTCAGTGCTTAAAAACAGATTTTTTCTTTTAATGCTTAAAAAAATAATTGTAGGACCCCAGAACGATTTGGGTTGGAAACAGCCTTAAAGTCATCTTGTTTCACTCCCTTCCACAGGCCAGGCTGCTCAGAGCCCCACTAATGACCTCAGACACTGTGTGAGCTTTAATTAAACTTCAGCTCTGTCTCCTTCCCTGCCACCCCCAGCACTGAGGGTGGGCACCCAGCACTCGGGGATTGTTGCAGTGTTCTCCTGGCAGCTGGAGGGCTGGGAAGTGGCTGAGGCATGAGATGAGTGAGGATTTGGATACAGGAGGCACAGAAACACATGGACTGCTTGGACTGAGCTGGGAAACTGGAACATTTTTGATTGACATAAGTTCCTGGATTCTTTCTGGACTGAAAACTTCCCACCTCATTTGCAGCCAAATATCAAATGAACTGAAAGAGGGGAAATTTAGGTTAGAAATGAAGAAGGAATTGTTCCTGTGAGGGTGGGGCCTGGCACAGGCTGCCCAGAGGTGCAGAGGTGATCTTTGAGGGGATGGATCCCTGGAATGGGATCTTTGAGCTCCTTCCCAGCCCAAAGCTCTGTGATTCCCTGATTCTGCTGTGTGGGAGAGCAGGAGGAATGCTGGTCCCAATAAAAGTGGAGACAGCTTTCCTTCCCTCACAGACTCCCTGTTCTGTTTGAGGGGAACCATCTGCTCTGCATTTCCAGTAACTGTCATCCTCCCACAGCCATCAGAACACTTGTGATTCTGAGGGGAAGAACCACTTTTCTCTGTCATTAACACTTCGCACCTCTTGTCTTTCAGATGGGAAGAGGAGCTGACCAGAAGGATGAGCCTGGAATCCATGGTGGAAACCCTGAGAGAGGTGAGGTTTGGGCAGTTTGGGGTGAAAGGTGCAGGGGTTTCTGCACCTCTCCTCATGCTGCTCAGCATTTTATTTGTCTTTTCGTTAAAAATTGGCCTTCTGGCTAGGCAGCTGTGCTGCTGCAGAGGTCAGTGCTAATGTTGGGAAGCTGGAGCAGGAAATGATGAAGTTTGTGACGAAGTTATGACAAAGTGGGAGGAGGGAGTGGAATTTACAACGGAGGATAACAATTAAATTTCACTGAAGAATGGAGTTCCATTCTAACCCCCTTTTTAACCAGCCTGCTCAGGCTGAGTGGGAAGCTGTGCTGGGCTCTCCCCTCTCACCTCCCGGGTGTTTTCCCTTGCAGGAGGCCCAGGAAGCAGAAGCTCTCCAGGAGGAGCTGAATGAGAAGATTGAGAGGCTGAAGGCAGAGCTGGTGGTCTTTAAGGGTCTGATGAGTGATGTAAGTACAGAGGGCCCTCTGTGGGTGTGTGTCCTGCACATGGCTTCATCCACAGCCAGGTGATTAGCGAGTGCTGCTGTGTAATTAGCGAGTGCTGCTGTGTAATTAGTGATGGCTGCTGGGATCTAATGCATCAGACAGATCCCCCTCCCTTGCTTCCTGTCTGGTCTGTGTGGAGATGCATTAACTGCTGCTTACCCATAACCAGGACTCTGCCCTCCCCTCCCTTCCCCACAGCTGCTGGGCAGCCTCGGATCTGGGAGAAAAGGGCTGGAGAAGTCCCAGCCTGGGGAGCAGGCTCAGCCCTGTGCAGCTCCAGGAGCTGCTGGCACGGGGACTTCGCCCGGAGTCGTGCAAAAAAATCCTGTTCCTAGAGGAACACATTGTATGGAATCATGGACTGCTTTGGGTTGGAAGGAGCTTAAAGATCATCCTGTTCCACCCCCTGCCATGGCAGGGACACCTTCCCCTGTCCCAGGCTGCTCCAGGCCCTGGCCAGCCTGGCCCTGGGCACTGCCAGGGATCCAGGGGCAGCCACAGCTGCTCTGGGCACCCTGTGCCAGGGCCTGCCCACCCTCCCAGGGAGGAATAAGTCTTTCCCATCTCCCTTAATGAGCTCTGAAAAGATGAATTCTGGTTCAGGTATTGGCTTTGCTTCCAGGGCTGGTTCAACCTCATGGCTTAAAAAAAAAAAAAAAGTCTTGTTTTCTCAGGAGTTTCCTCATGTCTCATTAGATACTGAGCTCTCTTCAAAGCCAGAGGATCTTTTAGGCCCTGAGTGGATAAAATTCTTTTATTTAGAAGTGAGATCATGCAGATATCTGGAAAGATAAGCCAGGAGAACACTAAGGTGCCTTTCTCAGTAAGTCTGAGGTAGTGGTGAAGCCACTTGTCTGAGGAATAAACCCTGTGACGCTGATTTATTCTGTAATTTTTGCAAACAACAGCCTTCTCCTGACTTCACAGAAACCTGCAGAACCCGCTCCCAGGTGTCAAATCCATTCTCTCAGGGCCACTAGATCTGCTCATGGGAAATTTGGCAATTAGCTGTGTGTCCTTCTGGTGGTTAATCAAGGGTGGCCGTGCTGGGTTGAAGCCTGGAGGGGAGAGGCTGCTGGGGCTGGGGCCTGACTTCATTCACCCAGGAACTGCTGTGTGTGCAGAGGGAGGTGGTGCTGCAGGCAAACATCCTCTGGGCTCAGGGAAAGTGCTCTGGGCAGGCTCCAAGGGATGAGGGAATCCGAGGAAAGCACTGGGAGTGCTTGCTTTGAGCCTCACTAGGCAAATATTTAGAATAGAGAAGTGCAAAATGTTGGCACGTGGCTCTTTCCTTCCTGCAGATAAGGATCAGCAGCTCAGTGGGTGAGATTGTGTCGAGTGTGTCAGTGTTGAGAGATTTATTTTCCTCAGAGTGTCTGGAAAACACAAAGCTCCAGAGGTGGTTCACAGGGGCTGGAGAAGACTCTGTGTAAAAATTTAAAACAAAAAGCTCAGACTCTAAAGGTGGTTCACAGGGCCTGGAGAAGACTGTGTAAAAATTTAAAACTAAAAATGGTGGGAAAATCAAACCAACAAAAAGCCCAAAGTTTTCTCTTAGAAATGGGATTTGTTGTTTAAGAATGGTCTGCAAAAGGTTTTTCCACTTTTGTGTCCCAGATGGAAGCATAGCTTAGGAGTGGAACTGTCCAGGAGAGCAAGTCTCAACTAGGATGGAAGATATGCTTTGGAGGTTTTTTTAATGTTTCTTCCTTCATAAGGAGCCAGATGTTCTGTCTGAGTGGGAGTATCTCAGCAATTAGAGCTACTACAAGGCAGTATTTTTCACACAGAAATTTTCATGCAGAACTTCGGCTGGGCTGGAAGCCAGGTTAGTGCCAGTGAGGAGTGTTCTCTGTGCCAAGGTTTTCATGGACCTCCTTGGATCCAGTCAGGATTTGCTGGTCCCATGCTCTGTGTGCAGTTGCTGTGGAGCCTGGATTCTGGTTTATCAGCAGCTTCTCTGTGCAGGCACAACTTTTGTGTCTGAAAGAGGGGAAGTGTTGCATCCTCACCAGGATTGACATTTCACTCTGCCCTGCACACGCTGCACAGGGGTTGCTCTCCATTTTTGAAGTGTTATTTATGGAATCCCACAATGGTTTGGGATGGAGGGGACCTTCAGGACAATCCGGCCCCACCCCCTGGCATGAGCAGGGTCTCCTTCCACTGTCCCAGGGTGCTCCAAGCCCAGCTTGAGCACTTCCAGGGCTGGGGCAGCCTCAACTTCTCTGGGCATTGCATTGTCTCGCCCTGTTCCTGACCCACCAAGGCTCCCCTTGCCACACTGAGCAGTTGTTCTGGGGTGGGTGCAGGTTTTTTTTCCATGGCAAGTCCCTCTGAGTTGGAACTTGGTTAGAATCAGGGGTGAGCTGTGGAGTCCTGAGACTGCCCGTGCTCTGCTGCCCGAGAACAGGGTGTGATGTTTAGCACTGGTGTGGCCTGGGGTTCCAGAGATACTGTGGGGTATCTCTTCTTGCCTGAACTGTCTAATAATAGAAGATAATCCCTGCTGTCCTTCCTGCAGCCCATGACAGACCTGGACACAAAGATCCAAGAAAAGGCCATGAAGGTGGACATGGACATCTGCCGCCGAATCGATATCACGGCCAAGCTGTGCGATGTCGCGCAGCAGCGCAACTCGGAAGACGTTTCCAAGATTTTCCAGGTGATTAGGCCCTGAATTTTCCATAGGGCAGGGCAGAGGGAGCAGGGCTGAGCAGTGTGGCCCAGGTCATTTGCCTTTTCTTGAACTCCCTCTCCATAGCCATATTTCCCCCGCTGTCTGTCAGGGTGGCTCTGCTGCAGGAGCTGCTGCAGCACCAGGAGCACAAAGTGCAGAGAGTTTAACAAAAAAGGAGTCCCAGGATGATCTTTAAGCTATGCTGTGAGTCTGATGTTAGTCTGTACTTAATGCAGGGAAAAAAAGCAGTGTTACAGAGTCTAGGTTTGTGTAATTCCTCCCTCCCATTTGTTCCCTTCACAAGTGACAGGTTTTAAGCTTGTGGAACTGTCATCTGAATGTTCTTATTTCTAGCTCGAGCTCTGTGGCCAGAAATAACATTTCTGTGATGGTGAGCTCTGGCTGCTCCAGTTGCTTTCCTTGGAGCTCCTTGGAGCTCCTTGGAGCTCGAAGGAAAGTCCTTTAATTTGCTCCAAAAGCGAGCAGTGACAGCTCTGCCTGGATCAAGGCTGTCACTCCCAGTGTCACAGCTGCAGTTTCAGCTCTGATTAACCCACCTTCCTTCTGCTTCCATCTCAATGTGTCTTACTCAGGCTTTCAGTAAATCTGATGCTTTTCTATGTGTAGTGATAGCACACTGTGTGCTAAGTGCTGTCCAGATACACTGTAAAAGATCCTTGTGGGCTCTTTTGTGAAGGTGCTGAAATGTTTGATGGTTTTTTCCCCCTGTGTTCCCCAAAAGACTCAAATCTCCTCAAAGGAGAACTATTTCTCTGGCAGGTTGAGCCACTGTATGGTGCCAGGGCCTCCTCCTTGTCTCTGAGGAGAATTGCTGAGTCTTTCTGCTCAGAGGTGACTGCAGAGCACACTCCTGGTCAGGCGTGCAGGGGTTAAAATGACCAGGAGAACGACACCTTGGAGAACAAGGCCAGCAAGGGATGGTTTGTGTGCCAAGAAGAGGGAAAACTGCTGTAGCTTGGGAGTGGATTGTGTGTTTGTGGTTCTGGCACCAGCTGGGAGCATCCTGTGTTCCCAACCCTCTGGGATCCTCTAGGATCTGGGAGCATCCTGTGTGTTCCCAGCCCTCTGGGATCCTCTGGGATAATTCTGTGTGTTCCCATCTCTGTGGGATCCTCTGGGATAATTCTGTGTGTTCCCATCTCTGTGGGATCCTCTGGGATAATTCTGTGTGTTCCCAGCCCTCTGGGATCCTCTGGGATAATTCTGTGTGTTCCCAGCCCTCTGGGATGCTCTGGGAGCATCCTGTGTGTTCCCTCTGTGCCCCTTGCAGGGCTGTCCCTTGAGTTCTCTGAACTTCATTTCTTGGGGGCTGTCCAGGCTTTTCCGTGGCTCAGCCAACCCTTCTTGTGTGCTGAGGATCCTCAATCTGCTCCTGGGGGTGGGAAATTTATTCCCTGGAATAAAGGCTCTCTGGAAGTTCCTCCCTGGAATAAAGGCTCTCTGGAAATTCCTCCCTGGAATAAAGGCTCTCTGGAAAGGTTTCCTGTCTGTTCCTTGCTGGGGTTCTGTGCTGGAGGCCACACCTGTGGTGGTGGCAGGAGAGGCAGAGTTCTGTCACTGCTCTCTGCTCGGGCACTGCTGCCCCTTCTGCTTTGCCCTGGCTCATCCCAGCCTTTCCCTGGCTCATCCCAGCCTCTGCATGGCCTCTGGCAGGTGCCAGGCCGGGCTCAGTGAGCACACGAACATCCCCAGAGCGCTGGCAGCCTGCAGCTCGCTTTGCTCTCCCCAGCTGCTTCCTGTGCCCCGTGCCCGCTGGAATCCCTGCATCCCGGGAGCTGCCACCCCCACTCAGCCCTAGCTCCTCTCCTCTCCTTGCACCCCCATTCCCCTCCCTGAGCCCTGCAGTCACTGCTGCTCTCTCCACCCCAGGTGGCTTCCAAGAAGAAGGAGCGGAAGCTGCCGTCGGACGAGGAGCTGTCGGAGCAGGACGCCGACAACGGGAGGTTCTCGGATGACGAGGTCAGCTGCTCCCTCAACATCACGGATGAGATGAAGAGGATGTTCAACCAGCTGTGAGTACCCCAGGAAAACTGCTCCTGACAGGCAGCCTGAGCCTGGAAGCTCTGAGCCAGCAGCGTGGCACAGGCCAGGAGGCTTTGGGGAAGTTCAAATAAAATTATCAGATTTCTGCTCCTCCCTCAAGTGGGAGGAATACATAGGATATAAAAAATACAAACTGATTTTGCTATTCTGGGTTGCTGCAAAAGAGGAAAAATGCAACAAAAAAAGAGTCAAAACCAGGAGTCTGTTCTGCATCTTGGGCTTAATATTTGATTTCTGGAGTTTGCTGCTGCTTGGCTGGATAGAATTTGAACTGAAAACTCAGCTTGGGGTGGATAGAAACCTCTCAAGTTTTTTGGGATGTTTTTCAGTTGGGCTGCAGGCAAATGGGAGGGGTGGATCTCTCTGAAGATCGGTGGACAATAATTTCTAGATGTCAGGAACGTTGGTGTTGTCAGCTGTTGCTGCAAAGTTCAGTCTCCCACATTTGAATAACTGGAGTTTATTTTGCCTAAAGCTTTACCCCTAAACTAAATCATTTTGCCTAAAGCTTCACCCCAAACCAAAACTTTACCCCAAACCACATTCCTCCCACAAAGGAAGTTTGTAGCAGCCCAGGAGGGACTCTCAGCACGTGGTGCTGCTCTGAGCAATTCAGGGAGGTGGCTGGAGGTGTGCCTTGTGTCCCCTTCTCCCATCAGGGCCAGGATGGGGGTGGCCACAGCCTGGTGAGGCTTTTTGGGCTCTCTGCTGTTCTCTTTTGGCAGAGAAGAGCCCTGAGCAGCCCCGTGGGTGTGTCCCCAGGGGGATGGGGGGTGTCCCCTGCCAGCTCTGCAGTGACAGCAGAGCAGAACTCCCAGGGCTTCCCACCCAGGGCAGGACAGGGTTTGTGGGGGGAGCACACGACGGGTGGTCTGAGCACCACCAGCTCCTCCTCTGCTGTCAGACACTGCCAGGAGTTCTGTTTCAGGGCAGCATTTTCTCCTTTCTGCCTGAATCCCCTGTGTGGGAGGGATGGTTTTTGCCAAAGCTGTGATGATTCCCCTTGTTAGGGCTCCTTTCAGATGTCTTTAGGCCCTCCATAATAATCAGTGTAATAAATAGAGATTTTTGACTTCTCCACTGCTAAACTCAGTGTGACAGCAGGCAGTGTGTGTGGAATTTTTAAAAAAGCAAAAAGTTAAATGTACCTGCTAGGTTGGTCATGCATCTAGGTTTTAATTTTGTTCCCACACCTGCCCTGTGATACCCAGTTGGTTTTGATCCTGCCAATGAAATTCTTATCTCCTGGTCCTATTACCCATGGCACAAAGTGCTACAGGAACCTTGTTCTACCAAGCTGGGGTGAAAGTGCTGGTGGCTCATTGGGCATGGGCCTGGGGTCTTTGTGAAGCAGGAAATAATAGCTTAGAAATAGATTGAGGAGCTGATATCATTAACAGAACAAAACGACTTGCTTTTTAGCTGTAATGAACTTAAATTTTAAGAATTAAGTAGCACAAAATCAGAGCTGCAGTGGATTTTGTGTGAGGTCAGCTCAGGAGCCTTTGTGCTTTCTGACCAGGACAGATCTTGGAAAAAGAAAACAGTTTGAAGAAGTGGATTTGCAAAAGGCACAGTCATGAGTGTCCAAGTGTTTAAAATGATATTTTTACAGAGCTGCTGATCCAGACAAACTTCCTGTCCCTTGCCAAGCTCTGCAGCCTCCCGGGGCAGCATGGGGCTCCTTCCTGGGATGTTATCAGCTCAGAGGAAGTGAGCTAAAGCCTTAAAAATGCATCAGCCTGGAATCCAGGCTGCTCAGGGAGAAATTCCAGTTCTTTGTCAGGGCTCCTTAACCACGATGAGGAGCAGCTACTGCTCTGTGCTCTGTGCTCTGCAACTTTCCTTTATTGCACAAGGTTAGAGCAGATAACTGTGTCAAAGGCCACTCCTGCCCTGTGCTCTGCCCTCACTGGCTGCAGCAGTGTCTGTGCTGCTCTGCACATCTCAGGGGCTCAGCCTTTTCATCCTTGTTCCTTGCAGCCCCTGTTCCTTGCAGCCCCTGTTCCTCCCAGCCCTGGTGTGTTCCAAGGCTGCAGGGGAGCCCTTGGCTGAGCTCCCCTGTGAAACCCGCGTGGGTTCTGAGCCCTGTGCCATCCCCCGAGCTGTGTTTGAGCTCCTTTCCTTTGGAGGAAAGAACAGCTCCAAACATTTCTGTGGTTTTGTAAACAGGGGAAGCTACTGTGCAGCTCCATCTGGAGGGCAGAGCCAGGCCTTGTGCTCCAGCAGCAGCTCCAACAAGGATCTTTTATTCTGCCGTGGGGTGGCAGGGAGCCCAGCAGAGAGGGGCCTGGCCTGGGCACAGGCTGTTGCTAAAAGCTGTGAGGATTTCCAGCCGCTACGTTGTCCCCCATTCAGCTCTCATAGCCCATTTTTCTAGACAATTAATTAAAGGGCTGAGGGAGTGGGGCTGGAGTGCTTTGGCTAATGCCTGTTTGCTCTCTCAGCCGTGAGACGTTTGATTTCGATGACGACTGTGACAGTTTAACGTGGGAGGAGAACGAGGAAACGCTGCTGCTGTGGGAGGACTTCACCAACTGCAACCCCTCCATTGACCTCCAAGGAGAGGTGAGTTCATTCCTGTTATTTTCTCCAACTCTTCTCTGCAGAAACTCTCCCTCAGCTGCTCCTTTACAGCCATTTGACCCTGTGGGTGTTGGACTGGTGATCTAGTTTGCCACACAGACTGACTTTGATTTTAAAATCCTCTTAGTGCTTTCCCTCTGTGGTTGATTTGCAGTCTGTGCAATCACTTTATTGGCCAAACTTTACTTCCTTGGCTCCTTCAGACTGAGTATTTAAAATACTGAGTGAGAGGTGAAGGATCCAAGGTGTCTGTTCCAGGAGCATCAGGGAATTTCTCACCCTTCAGAGCTTTCTCTAAAGCTCTGAGCTGAGAGGAGGGAGGTTTAGAATTGATTTTAGGAAAAAATCCTTCCCTGTGAGGGTGGGGAGGCCCCGACACAGAGCAGCTGTGGCTGCTCCATCCCTGGAAGTGTCCAAGGCCAGGCTGGATGGGCTTGGGAGCAGCCTGAGACAGTGGAAGGTGTCCCTGCCCATGGCAGGGGGTAGAATTAGGTGAACTTTAATTCCAGACTGGTTCTTGCAGCCCAAACCAGTCTGGGATTCTGTGATCTTCCACAGCACCTCACTTTCTCTGTGAGTCATCATTCACACTTTGTTATGATAACATGTGGAGTGCAGGGCAGGGGTTGCACAGTTGTTCCTGTGGGGAGCTGAGCAACCTTGGTGTGCTGGGGAGGTGTTGAAGGGTGTAAATCCCATTCCAGACAAAGAACCTGTGGCTGCAGGACCACAAAAAGCCCCAGGGATCCTCTGGACCCGTGAATCTTGGGCTTCCCTCTGCCCAGTCAGTGGGGATCTGCTGGCAGTGGTGGATAATGAACAGCTTCCTTTTAATCCTAAAATCCCAGGGAAAGGCAGCTAATCCAGCCACTCCAGAGCCTTGTAAACCAGCCTGGAGAGGGCTGGGAATGGGCTAGGAATGCCAGGCAATGGCTGGGAGTGGCAGGGAACATTCTGGGAATATCTGGGAATGGATGGAAATGGGCTGGGAGTGGCAGGCAATGGGGCTGGGACTGGCTGGGAGTGGGCTGGGAATGATGGAATTTCTGGGAATAGCCTGGGAATGGCAGGGAACAGCCTGGGAATGATGGAATGGCTGGGAATGGCCGTGTTACTGCATCCTGAGCAGCACAGGCTGGGAGGTGGGAGATGATCCCGCTGCCTCCCAGCCAGGGAAGATGCTGAGGCAGCAGCCTGGGGGATGTCTGGCTGCCAGGGCGTGTTCCTGTTCCACCTCTCCATTCCTGGATCATCCATCCGGAGCTCAGGGAGCCTCTGGGGATTACTGGGAACTGCTGGGGCTGCAGAAACCGCGGGGAGCTGGAGCACAGAGCAGCAGGGGGATAACGGGGACAGAGAGTGGCACAGGGATAACAGGGGCACAGAGTGGCACAGGGATAACAGGAGCAGGAGAGTGGCAGCGATAACAGGAGAGGGAGAGTGGCAGGGTGATAACGAGGAGCCTCGTGCAGGAATTAATGACAGCTGATTTGCATACGCCGGGCGTGCCTGGCTAAGCACAGCAATAGCGCCGAGCCCAGGCCCCGCGCGGGGAAACTCTAAAGATTTTAAGAAGCTTAAATCCTTCTAAATGAAAATTATACAAGGAAAGGGTAGATTTGGCTTGTAGATGGAGGTTCAGAATAAAGACTGCTCCGGCTGTGCCTGCTCTTTAACATGTGCTTTACATGCCTGAATCTTCCTTCCGTGGGTTTTATTCCTTTCAAGTTCTTACACGCTGCCCTCGCCACCTTCTTTCATGACCTTCCTCCTTAAAGCTCTTCTGCATATAAAAGGATCAGCGGGATGATTCTTGTAACTCCAGGCTGGGTAGCCTGGTGTGGGTACCAGGAATGAGCCCTGTAAATCTGCCACAGATGTGGCCAGAGCATGGAAACCCCATTAACACTATTGGTGCAGCTGTGTTAAATTGAGGATAATTTTTTAATGGAAAACAGAGGTGGCTGAAGGCTTGAAAGAGAGAACAGTGACAGCACCAAGCAGCTCTGTGGGCTGCACCAAGCAGCTCTGTGTGTTTGGGAGCCCAGACTGTGCTGTCAGTCCAAAGGGGGAGCTTTTCTGTGGGACAGCATTTGTTCCTGCTTTATCCAGCAGTGCAGGAATTCCAGTGGGAATCCGTGTGTGCACTGGAGAGTGATGATCTGTAACTGGAAAATGAGAATTCCAGTGCAAAGCTGGGAGTAGCAGCATGGTCAGTGCAAGGAAAATGAAAAGTTTCATGGCTGGAGAGCAATTTCAGTCTGTCCAAGTGTGTTCAGGCTGTGAAAGGCTCAGGACAATCCAGGAGGTTGGTGCTTTGGAATGCAGCAGGTGCATGGGTTTAATTGCTGGAGCCTTGATCAGACCTCGCCTTTGTGTGTCCAGAGCTGTGGTCGTGGCACAGAAATGTGTTTTCCTGGTATTCCAGATTGAGGAAGAATAGTCCTGGCCCGTGAAAAAATGTCTTCAAAAAATCAGTGCATGAAGGAACACAATAACCTGCATTTCCAGGGAGGTTAAATAAAATCTTCAGTTCTCTCCTGAATTCCTTTATTTCCTTGCTGATTTTTTGTGTCCTCCTCTCCCCTGCAGGAAGAAAACCTGGGAAACTTGATCCACGAGACAGAGTCTTTCTTCAAAACGAGAGACAAGGAATACCAGGAGACAATAGGGCAGATAGAGGTGAGGAAGGGGAGTTGTTCCTGGTGGATGGACACAGCACAGCGCTGTGCTCTGGGGTGTCCCAGAGGGAAGCAGGAATGTCCATATATCCAACAATGCAAAGGCATTTCCCTCTGGCGTGCCCTGGGGATTTTTCTAAATGCCATTCTCTGGGCTATTATTGCTCCATACTTCAGCACTGAGCATAAATCTGAGGCTGGTGAAGAGAGAACCTGCTGAACAAAGGGAATAAAACACACTATTTGTCTTTTCCCCCCTTTGTTCTGCATGTCCACCCTCACCCTGGGAAATGCTTCCCAGGACACGGCCTCACAGGCTGCCAGAAACAGCAGCTGGAGCTTCTCAAAATCTCTGTCCTGCCTGGAGCTGCTTTCATTAATGACTGCCTGTTGACAAACAAGGTGCCAAGAGCAGGAAAAGCCCTCCAGGGCTGTTCAGAACCAGTGTGAAGCTCTGATTGCCCTTCCTGGGCTCGTGGATGCATTGGCAGTCAGGAGCAGTGAGCTGAAATGTGCACTGTGGGGTGTTTGGGTGGGCTCTGGGCAGCTGAGGCAGTGTGAAGGTGCAGGAAAAGTGGCATTGCTCCTCCCCTGAAGCTGATTCTTTGTCCTTCAGCTGGAACTGGCCACAGCCAAGAGCGACATGAACCGGCACCTGCACGAGTACATGGAGATGTGCAGCATGAAACGGGGCCTGGACGTGCAGATGGAAACCTGCAGGAGGCTCATCAAGGGCTCAGCTGACAGGTAAGGGCTCCTCTGCTGCCCCTGCAGCTCCTTCCTGCTGCAGTTCTGCATGCTGGGAATTTCAGACTTTCTGTGCTGCCAGGCACTGACCCCCAGGAGAGCACTGCATTGACCTGAGGCTGTGGAGAAGGCTTCCAAAATTGATTTATAGCACTGGGATTATGGGTGTGGAGTTGATTAGAAATGTGTAATATCACAGAGTGGAAAACTTAGAGTTTGGGGTTTTAGAATATAGTAATAAATATGGAGCAAGATGGAGGTTTTAGGGCAGAGGCTGCTCCTTCTTCTTTACCTTCTTCACCTTCTTTTTCACCTTCTTTTTCCTTCTTCTCCATGGGTTTGGGTGATATTTTGTAACTGGACAGAAAAGTCCACATTGCGGACTTCGAGTGATTTGTTATTGGGTTAAAAGTGAAATTAATTTAGGTGTCGTTTCTTAATTGGATAGCCTTAAAAGACCTTGTAGCAAAAGATTGTTGGCCATTTAGTGCCTTGTTAATGAAGAAGTGCAGAACTCACTGATGTGAGACTGTAACACTGATAAGAAACAATAAACACCTGAGTCTGACCCAAACTATCAGCTCGAGTGCCTTCCATCCTGACCTCAACAGAGGCAGAAAAAGAAGCTGAAAAGCAGCACATTGCCTCCTGGGTCTGGTGCTGCACAGGGCACCTGGAACACAGGCTAGACACTGTTACAGGAACAAAGTAGGGATTTATTAAAAGGCCTTCAAAGATACACCTTGGGCAGTGCAAGAGCCTGGCCGAGGCTACACCCAAGATGGACCATGGGGAATCAGTTTTCACACTTTTGTAAATTTAGCCCCTTTGTATATTGTGGGTTAATTGTCCAATTACAGCTTCAGGTAATGAAGTCACATTCTCTCAGTTTGCTTCTCCCCAGTTTGCTTTTGTTTACACGTTTTGGGCCTGAAGCTGCAATAGTTTCCCTTGGTTCTGGGGCTGGAAAAGGATTGTTTTGTCTGACTAAACTGGGAGGAGAACTTGCTAACGCTCTGTATGAAGTTCAGAGTTACACACCAATGCAGCACAGAATCTGAGAAATATGAAAGCTAAAACTTAAGGCATCAGTTCCTGTCAGCTTGGGCTAAAGGCAACACTGTCACTTGATGGCCTTGTCCTTTGGAGAATCTTGTGTCCCAGATCAGCCCTGAAAGGGGGTCTGCAGCAGAGAGTGGGGTCCTGTACCTTGGAACAGCCCCAAGGGTTCAGGAGCTGCTCCTAAACACAGGGAGCTCCAGCTCAGCTGGACTTCCAGTCTTTAACATCTCAGATTTAGAACTCTTAAAACCCCAAATTAATCTCAACTCTGGACTTACATGAACAACTTGTTTTTTAATCTTCTCATGTGTTAAGAACCTTACACTATGAGGGATTTCTCTTATCTCTTGCTCAACCCCAGTAGAACAAGATGATAAACTTTCAATTTTCAGGGCTCTGGGTATTAGGGATGCTGAGAGTCTTTGCTCTCCATTTCCCCATCAGTAAACCTGGGACAGCCTCTGTGTTTGAGCAGGGGATGGCTGGGGTGGCACCTTGATTTTTCTACTGATATTTACTGTTTAACCAAAAGTTTAATGTTATTAAAGGGGTTTTTTAATAGCTTGGGGGAATGCCAATGTTTAATGTTAATAAAGAGGTTTTTAAGTAGTACTGGGAAGGGAAAGTGACTGTTTTCTTGTAAGACTTTTTTTTGCTTCCTTCAGTCATGGATATTTAACTTTTGGGCTGCACCTTTCCCTGTGTTTCCCTGCAGGAATTCTCCATCCCCCAGCTCCGTAGCCAGCAGTGACTCAGGAAACACAGATGAAATTCAGGATGATTTGGACAGAGAGACGGACGTGGAGCCCATGGTCAGCTGATAGCAAGTGGGAGCATTCCAGTCAAGGGCAAGATGGAGAGAGAAGATTCCAAACCAATTGCTGGGGGAAAGGTGAAAGACTTGAGAGCCCCTGCAGAGGGACTCTGAGGACTCACTCCTACACGCATCCCCTCCCAGCCAAGGATTGGTGCTGTACATTTCTATTGTTCTACAAACCATAAATGCAGAGTCCTGTAGGAAAACACGGTGTTTTAATTGTGCCTTTGCCCCAAGCTGAGCCACTTTGAGCTCCAGTGGAATATTAATAGCAGGTGTTTTTATAAAATATATTATTTAAAAAAATAAAAAACAACCAAAGCTGGTGGCAGCAGAGGATGGTGCTGCAGAGGCTCTGGGTACTTCAATAAGCTGCTGGTTTTACTGAGCTGCTGCACTGATTGGCAAAAGCAACATTGGCAAAAAGAGCAGCAAAACCAAGACAATTGTGGTGCAATTACCAATGTGTGGCACAAGAAAAAAAAGAATTGCCTCCAAATTGAACGGCAAATGTTTAAAAACAACAGTGGGTTTGGAGACAGCTCGCAGGGTGAAGCAGTTCTACAAAATTCAGAGGGTTTTCTTCATCCCACCTTTTGGGGTGAGGGAGCCTTTGGGAAGGTTTCTTCTGGACTCCAGGACCTGGAGGAGCAGGACTCAGCTCGGTGGCAAAGCAGGGGGGCACAGGAGGGGTCACTGGGGGGGGACTATCACTGAGTAACTACTATGCAAAAACAAAAAAAAAGCTCGCCTTATTTATATGGAATGTTTGGTCCCTGCTGGGCTACAGTTATCCCTTGGGAAAAGGAAAGCTAAACCCACATTTGCACACTTAGATGTCTGTAGAGCTTTTTTTGAGGTGGAATGTTGTATCACAATGCCTTTGTTTCCAGTGGTTGGGTTAGGAGGGGAGTCAGCCCTGGTTTGTGTCTTTTTTCAGGGCTTTTTTTTTTTTTTTTTAGTGTTTGCAGATTTTTCTTTGCAGACAGAGAGAGAATTCCATTTTATGCTGCCTCCATGATGTGTAGAGTGGGGTAGGTGAAGCATCAGGATAAACTGACCTAGGTGTAGGCTGGAGACAGGACTTTGGGAGAGCTCCAGACCACTCTTCTTGGGGAAAACCGAGCACTGGGAAATGCTGTAATCCTTTTTAGGGCATAGTAAACTGAATCCCAAAGTGCTGCTGCCCTGGAACTGGGGAGGAACAGCCATGTGCTTTCTCTGTGAGAAAGTGGCAAGACCTTGGCTTTGCCCATCTTTCTGTATTTTTACCCAGGAGAAGCAGCATCAAAGTCGGATCATACGGTGGTGGCTGAGGAAACTCCAGCCCCACCGAGCTCTTCGTGGTTAGAATGGGAATTGTAGCACCTCAGGCAGGTAAAAACAGGGTATAAACCTCAGCCAATAACTTTTTGTTTGTTTTTAAACCAAGATTGAGAGCGTAGTTGATACTGCCCAAAGCCAGCTGTGGGGTTAAGCAGTGGTTGGAACTCAGAGTAAATACCAAATGTGTTGGTTTTGCCTGCCAGGAAGTGCTGTGCAGGAGCAGTGCTAGGGCTGGACAGGGAAAATCCTGATTTCTGTACCCTCTTGGTGTTATGGAAAGGCAAAGTGGCCAATCCTGTGAGCTTCCTGAGTGGTGTTCCCAAGCCTCTGGATCTCTGGAGTTGCACTGCAAGCAAGCAGCCAGTGCAGATCCTGCTGCTCCGTTCCCTAGAGAGCACAGTCTCTTGGAAAATGGCTCATTCCTGGCTGGGAGCTCCTCAGTCTGGCATGGCCACGGAGAGGGGCAGGGCCTCGGGGGGCTCCTGGTGGAACTGTGGGCACAGGAATGTTTCCCCTCCTGTGCTGCTGCCTGGCTGTCAGCTCCATCTCCTGCCTGGACACAGCAGCTTTGAGGCCACGTGGGTCACAGGAGCTCCCTGCCTTTCTCACGCTGGGGAGGAGGGAGCAGGCTGATCCATCAGCATCCACAGCCTGCAGGGCACCAGCCACAGCTGATGGCTTCTGTCCAAGCCCCTGGATCCAAGGATGTTCCTGTGGTGTCCTTACTGATGGCAATACTCAGTGCAGAGTAGGTGACAACTCCTTGGGTGCTGGGGTGAGGGGCTTTCCAAAGCCTGGTCTGTCCTGTAAATAACTTTTCTCTGGAAGAGAAACCTCATTCCAAAGTGCTCATTCCTGTTATTTCTTAGGTGGCCAAAGTGGTAAATGTGATGTTCACTAGGGCTGCAAGCTAGGGGGTGGGTGGGTGGGGATTTGGGGTATTTTTTGGGCTGGGACTGCATGTTTGAAATCTGCAATTTGAAGGGTTTTGAAGGGTTTTGAACTTCAGCTGCTCCCAAGGAGCCTCTCCTGAGGCTGAGGAAGCGTCTGCCAAGTCTGGATGTCTGTGATGCTTCAGTGGCTGGGGCAGGCATTGCTCAGCACAGTGAATCAGCTCCTGGAGCCTGCCCCGGCTCCCTTCCTGGCTCCCTTCCTGCCGGAAACGCTCCCGGATCGATCCTGCCCCTGGCTCTGCCCACCCGGGAACGCTCCCGGATCCTGCCCCTGGCTCTGCCCACCCGGGAACGCTCCTGGATCCTGCCCCTGGCTCTGCCCACCCGGGAACGCTCCCGGATCCTGCCCCTGGCTCTGCCCACCCGGGAACGCTCCCGGATCCTGCCCCTGGCTCTGCCCACCCGGGAACGCTCCCGGATCCTGCCCCTGGCTCTGCCCACCCGGGAACGCTCCCGGATCCTGCCCCTGGCTGTCCCATCCCGGATCCTGCCCCTGGCTCTCCTCACCCAGGAACGCTCCCGGATCCTGCCCCTGGCTCTGCCCACCGGGAACGCTCCCGGAGCCTGCCCCTGGCTGTCCCATCCCGGAGCCTGCCCCTGGCTCTCTCACCCAGGAACGCTCCCGGCTCCTGCCCTGGCTCTCCCCTCACCCCGGAGCACTCCCGGCTCCTGCCCTGGCTCTCCTCACCCCGGAGCACTCCCGGAGCCTGCCCCTGGCTGTCCCATCCCGGAGCCTGCCCCCGGCTCTCCTCACCCCGAAATGCTCCTGACACCACGGCCCCAGCAGCTGTCGGGGTTGTGCTGTCCTTCCACTCTGGGTTTGTAATTTTTTATTGAAACTGAGTGTCCCGGTAGGAAAAAGGCTGAGTGTTCCCAAACCCAGGAGCTGTTGTGCTGAGGGCAGGGAGTTCCCACAGCTGGAATTGGGTGTGGGGTGGGTAGGAGCACCCACAGTGGGTGCTGAGGGAATTCCCACAGCAGGAATTGGGTGTGGGGTGGGCAGAGCCCCTGCAGTGGGGTGGGTGAGAGGGATGTGGGTGTAGTAGAGGGTGTAGAACTCACGTGCACGGTGGTGATGTGTAGGACAGTAGAGGTTCCCATGGGTGTCGGTGTCTTTCTTGTAACCACATGTAATCCATTTTTAAAGAAGAAAAGATGTTTTCATACTCGGGGTCGGGGTTTATTTTCATTTAGGCTGGGCCAGCCTTTTGGGGGCAGCTGGGGTTGGTCCTTGGGGGTTTTCCTGGAGGTCGTTGGTTCCAAGTCCAGCCGTGCTGCTGCTCCTGCTCCGTGTGTGTGGCACCACTCCAGAAACAGATCAAAGCTTGCCAGAGAAAAAAGAGAAAAAAAGGAATTTACTTGTAAAAATGCTGGAAATGATTTTGATGACCTCTTTCTTTTTTCCTTTGTAAAGCTGTAAATACTTTATTTTTGTTTTCTATTCTTAATGCGGTGTCATATTGACACTTTTTTAGATTTACAGTCAGAAAATCCTCCTCATCGTTTCTCATTTTTTAAAAGGGGATTTCAAGGAAGCAAATTTTTTTGCTCGCTAGCAGTGTAATAATAGATGAAATTCCTAAACTGGGTTTGTACAAAAATGTTTTCAGTAAACAAGTGGCAGTTTGTGGATGCATGTTGTTCAAAAATGTCCAAAGAATAATGTGGTACAAATGTTTTAAAGAATAATGTGGTACAAACGTTTTTTTCAGACTTAGTGATGATCATCTTAGTTCACACAAGGGAAAAAGCAAAATTCTTTAAAAAGAAAAAAAAAAAGTTTAGGGGGGAATGTAATGAAACTCATCTAAGCTAAATGTGTAATCTATTTATAAAATCACAGTATATATTCTATTTTTATCAGAGGTTTTTAAAGTGCAAACAGATTTCTGTTGGCAGATGCAATCATTCCCTTGTAAATTCTCTTCTGCTCTGATGGGACCCCCAAATTCTCTGATGGTTCCAAGAGTCAACGTGGAAATAACCGGGACAGGTTTGGCTGTGGAGCACTCACAGCCTCCATGGGAGGCTGCAGCTTCAGCATCTCTTCTCCCTCTGCAGAGTGGGTGCTGTGATTTTATTCCCTTCCCTGTGATTTTATTCCCTTCCCCTGACTGGGAGGATGCTCCTGGAAGGGGTCAGGACCTCCCGGATCCCAGGAGCGTGGCAGGACAGGGGTTAAACTCTGCCTGGATAACAAAAAATTAAATACAAATTATATTTGTACCTGTAGAAATTGGGATTAACTCAACAAAACAAAACAGCAGATGGGAATCGTGCCTGAATATGCATCCAGAGCTGCTTCTAAAGTGAGATTATATTAATTTTCCTTTCCATGATCATTCCTGCCAGCAAAAACACGAGCTGGCTGTGGAAGGGCCGTGGGTGCTCCCAGAGCTGTTCCTGGTGTTTCCCTTGGCTCTGGGAACACGGGGAGGATGTTTGTCTTGGAAGAGCTGCAGAGCTGGGAGGTTTCACGTTCGAGTGCTTCATTTTAGAGCTGAGTGTTTAAGGAGTGATTTCTCCCTGCTAAATTAAGACATCCCAGTGCTTGCACGAGGCAGGGACACCCCAGTGAGGGTTTTCCACCCTTGCCTTCAGGACTTTTGGGATTTTTGTCCTTCTGCTCGGCTGCAGGGGAGCACACAGCTCGTAAAGCTCTTTGCCTTCGGGGTTGCCACCCAAACACTGGATTTTAAGCTTTTTAGTGGGATGTAATTTGTGTCCCTGTGAGTTTTAACCGAGAAACAAAATTACCAATGAGGCAGCAGGCGGGTCCTGGTGGGAATAACAGCCGAGGTGAGCTGGGAGCACTGCCTGCCAAATTCTCCGTGGGAATGGGATCCCAGCCCCTCTCCCTGCAGGGGGAACACTCAGGGCTTGGCCAGGCCCTTGGCAGAGCAGGGAGGAAACACTTGAGCCTTCCCTTCTGTCTGTTTTCATGTGAGTTCGGTGTCCTCAGACCCTTCTGCCTTTGCAGGAGCCTCTCAAAGCTTCTCTTTTGAAGGAGCAACAAGTTGTGTTTAAATGTGGGTATTTGATTGCAGAAATCACCATTCCCCCTAATCTGAGGCACTCCAACAGTGAAGCCCTTGGGAAGGGGGTTCTTGTTGGTCTGGCCAGCTCCCTTTTTTTGGAAATTAGGATGTTAAAGCTTAAAACAACCCTTGGGGTGGCTTCAAACCAGTGTCATCTCTGTGGCAGAACAGCCCAGACCATGGTGCCACAAACCCAGTGGAGCTGCCCAGACTGCCAGCCCTGAAACCCCAAATTTCTGTTTGATTGGAGAGGGTTTGAGGGTGGTCCAACCTCAGTCACTAAAACACACTCCTTTGTGTAACCTGGTTTCACCAAATAACTCACAATCCAGTCCCTAAAACACCTTCCTGTGGTTAAAGTAAATGTAGCAACCTTCTGCCAAAAAAGATAATTTATTATTTATCGTGTTCGAGTGGGGGGTATTGATGCCTCTTCCCTCCTGCTGTGTCACTTCTTGTCGGTTCCTCTTTAGGTCACTTAAGAGTTTCTTTTATCCCCACGACAACAAACTGCTGCTGGTGTGGGAACGCCCCTGGTTACCGTCCCCGTGTAAATACTGTGCTTTATATTCTGTATATTAGCTAATTTTAATGGAAAAGACTGGACTGATGATGCTGTTGGATGACCCCAGGTGGGGGGCTGGAATTCTGTGCTGGGAACCCGCAGCAGCTGGAATGGGACACCCCCAGTGGATTTGGGACCACGAAATGCTTCGAGAATCCAATCCACGAGGAGGAGCCCTGAGAACTCCCTCAGCCAGAGCCAGAACCACCCGCCCTCCTCTGAGCTCGGCGGATTTGCTCCATTTTCCTTTTTTTAGTGCCAAAACCGACCCCACCGTCCCCTCGCAGGTGTGCTGGCAGCTCTCCGTGTGCTGCTGCGGTGTGCAGCCCGTGTCCAGCCCGTCCGTCCTGCCCGGGCCGGGGCTCAGCCCGCGGTGCCCCATCAAACAGGTGCCAGTCGGTCTCTGGTGACGATGAAAACCACAAAAAACTATAAAATAAATACCAAACTCCTGGTTAAACGGCTCTGCGTGTTAATTCTTGGGGTGGAAAACGCCTCTAAAGCAGAAGGATTTGGGTCTGGGGAGGGAGGGACCACCCCCGTTTCTGAAAATCCGCTCAGCCCGGGTGATTTGGGGTCCTAAAAGAGCCCGAAATCCCCTCAAAATTAGGGTCCTTCAGCTGCTGCTCTTGAAACGTGACTCTCCTTGGAAATTAAAGTACCCCCTGCACACCTCAGCCTCCTCCTGGCCCTGTGCCCCAGCCTGGCCCCACCTTTGGGTTAAAATCACCCCTTCTTTGGTAATTCACAGTTCCCAAAGGGATTCTCAGCCGCTTTTCTCTTTTTCCCCGCCTCGGTCCTCTCTGGCGGCTCGGACCCGCCGGGCTCCGGGCGCAGTGCCAGCCGCTCCCTCTGCTCGGGTCGGTTTTGTTGTTGTTTTTCCCGAATTTCCCTTTTTTAAATGATTTTTGGCTCCTTCCCGCGCCCCGCCCCCTCCCACGTGCCGCGCGCGCCACCGCCCCCCGCTCCGGCCGCAACCATCACCGCGCGGGGGGGGACGCGCCGCTGGGGACACCCCACGGGCACCCCGCGGGCGGGGGGGGGACACGGCCCTCACCCTCACACACAGCGAGCGACAGGCGTGGGGCCGCTTCTCCAGATCGCTGCTCCCGGTGATTTATTAATTTATTAATTAATTGATGGTTGCGTCTCCTCCCCGCCCCCCCTCCCCCCGCGCGGCGGGTGGTGGCGGCCGCGGGCCGGGAGCGCGGCGGGGCCGGGATGTGGCGGCGGCTGCGGGCGCTGAGGGACTGCGGGTGAGTGCGGGCTCCGTCCCTTCCCCTTCCCCTTCCCTCTTTCCCGCACCGTCCCCACGTGTGGGGCGGACTCGGGCTCCGCTCGATCCC